CAGTTGCGTTGCTGTCTATGCAGGGTCTGAGAGCTCTCACATTTCATCAAAAATATCTTAATTTGTGTTCCGAAGATGAACGAAGGTCTTACGGGTTTGGAACGACATGAGGGTGAGTAATTAATGACAGAATTTTCATTGTGGGGTGAACTAAACCTTTAAAGTCATGAGAGGTGCCAAAGTCTGACTCGCTTTGTTCTTATGTGTGAATTTAACAACTACCAAGAAAGGCCAGGCAATATTCAGAATTTAGGAAATGGCTTTGTTAAATTCAATTAAATCAATTTGGCTCCCCCTCAGGATGTTCATTTGGAATTTATTGAATTGCAATCAAAGACATTCAAAACCGTCACACATATTTAAAGGCACAATATGTAAGATTTTTTAATTAAAATATCCAGAAACTACTAGAACAGTGTTATATATTTTGCTGACTTGTGTACTTACATTATACCAAATGTTTCGAAGAATGTTTAAATCCAGAGAAATAAGCAATTTTAACTAGTGGCACGCACCGTGTCCATAGTGTCATTGTGTCGCCTGCCAATGACGTCATAACCCCTCGATTTCCGGTTTTGTTTTGTAGAAAACATGGAAACACCAAAGACACTTTAATATGTTGTGCATTTTAATATACCGGTGACGACCGCACAGAGTAGCATTATAACAGAACTTTCAAATGTATCTAGTATGATAAAACAGCGCTGCTTTTTTTCCCCACAAATACGCACGACCGGAAGGAGTGTAAGCGGTCGACTGTGGCATAATAAAAGCGCCGCTGCTTTCGAGCATGTGTCGCGCTCGTTCAGCAGCCTCGTTTCGCTTCGATGGCTTTCAGCCTCACCCTACTTCATTCTACTACGTTAATAAATCATTAGCTCATCCATGAACATGATTTCTGCCCGAGTCCCGTCGGATTGCATCGGCTGTGGGGATGAAGACGACAACTCCCATGATTCCACACTCAGTCACGGAGTCATCTAACCACGCCTTTGCCTCTTTGTTTATTTTGAATATGCGCCCTCTAGTGGTGAAAATGACATATTGTGCCTTTAATAGTCCAAAATTAGTTTTCTGACAAAACAAAAATAATTTTGAATAATTATGGATATTTATTCCCTGATATGGATTTTTTCTGAAATTATTAGACATTTTTCTTAACACAAACTTTAGAAATTTGAAAACAGTATTCCAATTGTTTTAAACGGTGTCCAACAGTATTCTGTTTTTGGATAACTTTATAAAAGTAATGATCAACATTAAAGTTTGTGAGAATTCAATTCTAAACATAATATCAACTCCATAATTATTTGCAACCTTCTTTAATATGAACAAAAATGAATATATAAAATATATAATACATGGTTATGGGTAATATATAAAAATATATTATTAAAAATTACACTGACAGATGTTATATGAGTTTCATTTCAAGGGTGCATTCACATCAAGAAGGGTAAATAAATATACAATAACTACTTTAGCGTCCATACCAATGCATTATAACATTCTGTTTATTATAAGAATAACATTCTGTATATTATAAGTGCTGCAGTTATGCAGTTATATCGACATTTGTATCATTGATCAGTTCATCAGGGAAAATAAATGTTCTGAAAGTGATTCCAATGACATCATTCCTCTGTAACATCAGTATAGCTGTGGTGTGAACTTCCCTATTCTTGTAGAATTAGAATTGTTATTAAAAATTTTGAAATATTGTTACATTTAAGAATTTGGCAGATGATTTTATACAAAGTGACTTACATTGCATTCAGTGCATATATTTTATCAGTTCATGCGTTCCCTGGAAATTGAACCCATGACTTTGGCATTGCTAGCTCTGTACTCTACACAAATTATAGTTGTGGACCTTGGGGTGAATGGGCCTGTATGTCAACCCCCCCATTTGAATTACAATTCTGCATTTTGTTTGCTTCCTCAGTTCTGAATGCTACACAGCTCTAGTTTGTTTAATGTGTGAGGTGTTAGATAAGCCAGAAATCGATGTGAGCTATTAAGTGAGGAGCTGTATTGTACTGAAAAGAGTTCTGGCAAAGTACCAATAATAGATACGTGGATCAGAACAGGCATAAATGAGGATCTTAATAAGCCATTCACAGCTGCATGTGGCTCTTGCAGCAGGTGTCATTTTATTGTAGAAATTCATCCTTGTTTTGACAACCAATAGGCCACAGCTTTTATATGAAGAATGATCTGAATGTCTTGTTTTTTTTTATTTTAAACATAATGTATCAGTTCTTCATTGATGTTTTATGAGTTGCTTCTATCTGTCAGGCTATGAAATGGGACCTAACGGGCAGCGATGATGAAGAGAGGGAGGGATACACATGTGCCGTGTGTTTAGACGTATATTACAGCCCTTACAAGTGCCATCCTTGCAGTCATGTGTTCTGTGAGCCCTGTTTGAGAACTCTGGCTAAGAACAGGCCAAGCAATACCCCGTGTCCCCTCTGTAGGACCCTCATATCCCATGTGCTCTTTCAGGAAGGTGAGTCAAACAGATAAACTCCATTTTTTTCATATCATATTATTTGGAAGAACTTTGTTACCACCTGATGAACTGCTTGTTTCAGAGCTCAATCAAACTACAAAGACATGCTTCCCAAAAGTGTATCGGTCAAGACACGAAACCTTTCAGAAGACCAACTATTCCAAATGGCCCCTGCCCAACTGTCCAAAGCATTTCCGCATCTTTTGGGGTTTGTCATATGTCATTTGACACTAGGTGTTACAAAGTTTTAATTACAAGTTGCACATTTATTTAATTGTTCTTTGCCATTTCAGGATTTCAGAGACACGGAGGACCTGCCAGTCGCTGGCAATTTCCCCACAGAGCATTTGGCCTGGATGCGTTGGATCTGGGGGACATGTGGGGCTGGCCATTTGACATTGACTTTGTGATCATCTCTATCTACTCTCTGCACTGGGTGATGGTGTTCATCATCTTTTGTGGCCTCTGCTACTTTCTCCTCTGATGTATGGAGGATTAAATCTCACTTTGCTGTTGCTGGACAAAATGTTGTTGACAGTGGACATCTCATCAAGTGCCTCATACTTTTATTTCAATGTATCTTCAAATATGATGAAATATTATTAAGGTGTTTTTCTTCCTGTGGGAATCATTTGTGTGTTTGTTTGTGGTTTAGGTCTTACAGGGTTTGTGCAATCCATAGATATCACGTTAAGCAATTACTTAAATATCATCTGCCTATTTGACCTGTAAACAGTATTATAATGCAGTAGAAAAGAGAAAAAGCAACAATTCAGGGTATAATGCTTAGGTCGTCTGTACACTTTAATAAGCTGCCTCTTTTTCAGTTGCTATTACCTGGAGCGTTTAGATGCTTGTCTAATGCTAGAACCCAGGTTTCTTCCACTAAAAACAATCTGTTGTACAGTGGATTTAATGGCTTCTTTTACACAGTAAAATGTTTGAGAGAATTTTGTTGTGTCAATTCATTCTCCTGGAATGAGATTTAATTAGTTGTTAAGCTTTGGCAATGGCCTAGAATGCCAAATACCGTTTGGGAATGTATTTTTGTTCAAATTAATCCTAAGGGAGAACACCTAACAAACTCCAGCGTTTTAGAAACATTCTTTTGGGGGGTTTTAACCAATAACTAACGTTCCCAGAAAGTGCGTTTTTGTGTGACAACTTAACTACATAATGTTTTCTAATGACTGTCTTTAAAGGTTTTTTAACCGTTTCAAAAAGGTTTTTGATTTACAGCAGTTGTTTGACTAACAATAAATCTATTAAGCAGAGATACGGTATGTTTAAGACGGCGCTTATAAATAAAATCGTGAATATTTAGTTTTCCTCGCACAAAGCAATTGTGTTTCTTCGACGAACCCGTCTTTTCAGGGATCGTGAAGCCCGCAGCTGTGGCGTTCCAGCGACGCTCGGCCCTCGACAGGGGTGAAGGTGACTCGCCTGTTGGTGCGGGAGATGCAGAGGAAGCGTCGCGGACGCTCGCTCGGCTCCGTCACATCACTAATCATCGAAACAATCCGCATCCAAGGTTCGACCTCACCCTCTCATCGAGGACAGACTGATTAAAGACATTTTCTCAGTGAGGTGGTTTTATTCGTGGATGCGTATGCATGTGTTCTGCACCGAACGGGCGAAAGAACCGCCCCAGATCCGCAGCCAACGTTTTTCAAATCGGCAAGACTTCGGTGAGGGATCTGGAACGCCGGGAGAGCACCGAGAGCACGCGAAGAGCTCAGCGGGCGATGGATGACTGTAGAACGGTGAGAGCGCTTTAGGACAACCGCCGTCACTCTAATGCGGATGCTATTTTTGGATAGTCTTTTTTTTTTGGTGTCTAAACATTAAAATCAGTGTCAGTTATATGCCTATTAACAGGTTTAGCATTAACGGTATTTGCGAATAATTGCAGTAAATCTGTATAGCCCATCAATATTGATACTAACACATACTAAATGCCAGCGTATGGGGATGTGGTGTATTGAAATGATTAATTATTGGATCTCTGTTTGTGAATTGCTTATACAATAAACAATTGGTGTCATTATGTTTATCATTTGCTATTTGTGTTTTCATATTGCACCATTGTTTAGAAATTACATTCCTCCCCACAATCCCATGTGTTGCTATGTGGCATCTAGATGATGGCAGCTAAACTCGTGTTTACCCTGCTGGAAAATCCAGTTTAAGCTGCTAGCTGTGTTTTGGAACACTGGTTTCTAGTTAGTCCAAAAATAACAACTGCTATCATGTTCCAAATGACAGCTTGACCAGGGTTGTGGCTAGAAGGGATACAGCTACAGCCAGAAAATAATAACTTAAATTTGCTAAGTTACCTATTAGATTGCGTTTTATTAATGTCTACACCTACCCCAACCTTAAACCTAACCTTACAATAATGTAAATACTGTAACTAATTGTTGTTCAGCGTGACAATAATGACGCAATATTGATGTGCGCATGCCCAGTAGGACAATAGCTGTATCCTTTCTAGCCCTAACCCTTGACTAGCTGGTAACTGGTTTGGTGCTGGTCCAAGATGATCTACCAACCAAACCAGCTAACATTCTCCAAAACATGGCCGGTAGCTTAATCTACACACATTGACTTTCTAAAAATAGACTGAGCAAGATTTGTCTCAATTTTTAGACCGTTCAGGAGTTCAACACTCTTGTGGCTCTCTATCGTGAGCAGGTCATCTCCATAGGCGAGAATACAATCGACTGTCCTTCTTTAAGGGCACAGATGCACAAGACTCGCATCAAAGGATGCGCCGTAGCCCGGTCTGCCTATCAAAACCTCATCGCAATCTCTGGGTAAGCATGTACAGTGCCGTGAAAAGGTTTTTGCCCCCCTTCCTGTTTTTTTAATTTTTTGCATATTTGTCACACTTAAAAGATTCAGATCATCAAACCAATTTTAATATTATGCAAAGATAATGCAAGCAAATACAAAATACAGTTTTTAAATGATAATTTCATTTATTAAGGGAAAAAAGCTGTCCAAACCTACCTGGCCCTACGTGAAAAATTATTTGCCCCTCCTCTTAAATCATGAAAGAACTGTGATTAACCACATAATTTTAGAAAGCTGAGTTAAATTTCACTAGCCACACGCAGGCCTGATTACTGCCAGACCTGTTGAATAAAGAAATCACTTAAATAGAACCTGTCTGACAAAGTGAAGCATGCTTAAAAAAACAGGACGGGGGCAAAAACTTTTTCACACCACTGTATGTTAGAAAAGCCATGTAGTTTTGACAACATGGCTGTAAGATGAAATTTAATGTGGTTTTCTCTCTATGTTTGTCTTAGGCCAGAGGATGGTGAAATCCACCCAGAAATATGCAGATTGTTCATCCAGCTTCAGTGCTGCATGGAGATGTACATTACAGAGATGCTCAAGTCTATGTGCCTGTTGGGTGTTCTGCAGCTCCATAGGAAAGGTGTTGTGTCAATGACAGCCAGCAGAGGACAGCAGATTCTTTACATAAGCAGACATGAGTGCATATGGCTATGGTGAAATAATACTGTCAGTCAGAAGGTGGCGGGAATGGCACAATAAATGCATAAAACAGCTCCTTTGAGTATTAATTTGTTTTTTCTTGTAAGCAAAACAAAGCATAACTTTATAAAAGCATCTTGCAATGTTTTGTTTCACTCGCTTCAGGAAACGATGTGTGTCCTGAGCCAAACATGGAATGCAAGGTCGACGAGAGCTCTGATGTGCCGATGCTGGAAGATCAATCATCGTCACCTGTGGATTTTCCGCAGGATTCCTGGGTCGTGTGCACAGACATTGAGAATATAGAGAGGTACAACAAACAGGATGAATAGATTAGGAAAGACAGCTTCCAATTTTTCAGCAGTGTTGGTTCTGGAAGTACTTTTCAAATTCATTTACTCCATAGGGATATGAACCAACCAAAGTCCCTTAAAGTCAAGTCATTTCACTCATCGGCCATCTTTGAAACGCCTTTTGGGCATGCAAGTACAGCTCCTATCTCTTTGAATGGGGAAACATCAAATTCTCCAAAACTGTTCACCAAGCTTACGATAAAATTTCATATTTGAAATCACCAATGATATCTGACAACAACTGCCTCAAAAATGTTGTTTCTTATGCTCCAATAGCATTAAAAAAAGCTTATTTTTCAGGCAAAACCAGCCAAAGCGCATGCACAGTCTTTAGTGTGTCTCAGACTGTTTCTATAGCAACGGCAGCTGGAGTGACACTGTGACTTTACAGATTAGCCATTGGCTCTTTTACTCAGAAGGCGGGGCTTCCTTCGATACAGTGGCCAGATTAAGCGTTGCATTTTCCCCCATTATCTATACAAACTACGATTAAAATGTTTGGGTCAGTATTTTTTATTTTTTTTGGAACAAAATGTACACTTTTACTCATCAAGGATGCGTTAAATTGATCAAAAGTGACAGTAAATGCATTTATAATGTTACAGATTTTTATTTCAAACAAATTTATCAAAAAATCGTGCAAAAAAAATATCCCATGGTTTCCACCATATATTAAAGGGGTCATATGACATTGCTAAAAAGAACATTATTTTGTGTATTTGGTGTAATGCAATGTGTTTATGCGGTTTAAGGTTAAAAAAACACATTATTTTCCGACGACCCCGGGCTGGACTCCGCTACGTCCACGGTGAAAGCCGATCTGGTGATCAACATCGCAAAGTTGTTGTATTTCCTCAGCAACCAGCACGGATTAGCTCTAGGCATGACGAAGCAGATATCGTCCTCTTTTGGAAGGCCAAACAAAGTAGTTTCGCTTTCACAACGAAACACACAGCGACTCCACAACATGGCGGCGGTGGCAACAGCGAGAATAAAAGTTACGCCGCCTTTCTTTGCGTGAACATTTGGGCGGCGTTATGCAAATCTTCCCACATCGTGACGTAGACATGTGGGGGCGTGTTTAAACGAGGCGTTTTAGGAGGGCGTGGTTGACTCTTAACTTTTATAAAGAATATCTCTTTGGATTTGAGACTTTAGTCTTTGCAACTTTACAGATCTTCTTTATGCACCAAGAGCTTGTAACACTCCAAAGAGAAAGGAAAAATTGAAATCGCATCATATGACCCCTTTTAGCAGCACACATTTTTAACATTGATAATAATCAGAAATGTTTGAGTACCAAATCAGCATCTTGGAATGATTTCTGTAGGATCATGAGACACTAAAAACTGAATTAAAGTCTACTGAAAATTCAGCTTTGCCATCACAGGAATAAATTACATTTTAAAATATAATAAAATAGAAAACACTTATTTAAAATTGTAGTAATATTTCACAATACTCCTGTTTTTACTGTATTTTTAATCAAGTAAAGGCAGCCTTGGTGAGCAGAATCGACTTCTTTAAAAAACATTTTTTTATTTTTTATTTTACTAACTCCAAAATTTTAAATGGTGCTGTATATAAAATGCCTGTCCACCAATTTAATGGGGTCCTTAAGTACTTGACTTGTACTATAAATCCTGTTTGCTGTAATCTCAATTGACATTCTATGTTGTGAAATTTCTTCCAGTGATATGCGAGAAATGAGAAACCTTTTAAGCAAACTCAGGGAGACAATGCCTTTGCCACTGAAAAATCAAGGTGCATCTCAAACTTTTTTAGGAATTTATTCTGATATAATAAGAGAGTTTTTATACCTTCCAATAATATGATCATATCGCTAGAAATGTGTTTATTTTTTAATGCTGCTCTTTCATGTGTGTAGATGACAGCAGTCTGCTAAATCTGACTCCTTATCCACTGGTGAGGCAGAGGAAGAGGCGATTCTCCGGGCTTTGTTGCCTTGTGTCTGGCTGAACCTTCAATACTCTCAGTCTCAAGTCTTCTTTTCTGATCATTGATCAATTTACGCTTCACTCGTCTCCTTCGTGTCTCTGGAACTGTTTTGCTAATGTAACTTGTCCTTGGACTGTCTCAAAACTACATAATCCCTTGTTGGAGGACAGAATCCCCTTGACTCAAAACCCTGCCTATTGAGTTTTTAAGCAAAATCAATTGTCTATTTTTAGTTTCCAAGAGAGGTTCATTCTTTGTCATGTGCTGTGAAACCATATGATTGTACAAAAAAGCAAGAGAATGAAGTAAAATGACATCTGTCTCTGATTTTCTTTTATCATAGTCATAGAGTTTGTTGTCAGTGAAAGGGCACGTTTAGTTATAGGATTGCTGTATTTCATCTTCTTGCTTCTTGTTTTTTTCTTCTATATAAATTTAGTCACTGCAATGCTTTTCATTTAGTCTTCCATAAAGGGGAAATGTTGTAAAAATTATATTAGTCATTTTAAGGGCACAAGAGCGCTCTGCACTAAAGCCATTGCTATTTCATTCTAAGCTTGAAATAAATATAACACAATAAAATTCACTATGTATATAATACAAATAATTGTAAATAAAACATTGTATTTATTATAATTGATTTTAAAGATTTATTTTTCATTTATCCATTCAAGACATCAGGTTTGTGTGAATGCATATCACAGTTAAATGAGAGTTTGCAGCATGATTTCATGTCAGGTGTCTATAAAGTATGCATAGTTACAGCTCATATAAGCTATATGTCATTTTATAATGATAATAAAGTTGTTGTTGTTTTATTGTAATTGTTTTATTGTAGCATACAGTAATTCGCATTCAGTTTTTTGCCTTTAAAATTAACCCTTAAAAATCTTATTAAGAAATTGATACATGTTTAAAATAAAGACCAAATTGATTATGAAAAAATAAGATAAAGTGCAAAAGACACCTCTATTTCGGCATGAAGAAAGGCAATAACTTTCTTCTGTAATAACATGTTATCCACATACTCACTGTCCACATTCCCATGGTCTAAAGCAGGAGCTGCAAATGTCAAAGTGAAGAGTTCCAGCTGCAGGGGTTTAGTGGAAGCTAAGGGGGATGGACAAATTCTGTTGCGAGAGAATGCTGGAAGACAATTCATCCAGGTCAGAATAAGAGTTACTATTTCAGAGCAGCTTTTTGTGCATCTGTCTTGCTGATTTTGGACACAGAGACTAAAATTACACATGATAGCGTGCTTACATGCTTTCGGAGGCATCTGAAATTGATGTATTATTCATCAAGCTCAGGCATTATTAGGTTTCTGCAACTCTTCTCAAGAAACAGTCTGTGGTAAGGTCTTGATTTATTTAAATGATTTAATTCAAATTCAATTTATGAATATCTTTATTTTTCAGCTTAGTTTTTTATGTTTAGTACCACAATGGATATTAATATTTTATATTTAATCAGTATTTCTTATTTGTGCATAGCTTTCTTTGTTTGCTTGTTACCAATTTTTCATACTTTTGAGGGCTTTTACTCAATGTATTAAAACTGATGCATATACTTGCGTATAACCCACTTCTTTCTACTTTCCCTTAAGCTATCGAGTTCCAACAGGCCTTATTCTCTATGGATTGTGCTACCATTCCCCTTGTCCTACTCTGCAGCCTGGCTGCATTTACCCCCATTATGGGATGTTTTTGTGACCATTACCCATGGAGTTTGTGGTCCTATTACACCAAAACCTGTAACTCTGGCACCCAAACACGTACAAGGTAACCTTTATTTAACATATATCTGATGTGTAAAGTCCATTATTGTAATATGTACATTTGTTGTTGCAGGGCTGTACGCTATGATGAGCACTGGAACAAAAACAATTGTTTCCAGCTGTGTCAGACACATGAGACTATAGAGCGTGTAATGTTGAGGCCTGTACCATAAACTGTCAGCTGACTGAGTTTGGACCCTGGTCAGAGTGCTCGCCGTGTGCCAAAAAATCTGTGAGTAAAGCACACAGGTATTAAAATTAAGAGATTTATACAAAAGTTAGTTTGGGTCATTAAATCTGATTGGCTTACCAGTGTTTCAAGAGATATGAGATATATGCTGTTATAGCAAGAAGCACAATAGCTTTGGGATTTTTCACTGTTTGTCCATATCTTTGCATTCCTGACAGACTGTTAGTCTGTGCATTAAAGGTATATTCAACCAAAAATTAAAATTTGCTAAATATTTACTCACTGTGGCGGCATACACTTAAAGATGTGACAGAATTCACATACAGTGCTTGTTATGCTTCCCCTTTAAGAATGTTTTGTTGCCTGTGGTGGGGTGTTTTCCGTTTGGCTAGTTCAGTAAAGCGCTTTTCATCCAATTTTGATGTAGTCTGTGTTAATTTAATCGCACAAACACCTAGATCACCCTCAGGTCATCTAAGTAGAAGAGTTTGTTTCTTCATTGGAACAGATCTGAGAAATTTAGCATTACATCCACCAATGGATCCTCTGCAGTGAATGGGTTAACTGCTGCATAAAAGCAATATCACGCTTGCAGCTATGCAGTTTTTTTCAGAATATAGCCTTCTTCTAATATCGTGCTAATATTCGGCAATGACAACATTCTTGCTAGTGTGAAATTGCTTAAATATAGTACACTGCCCTTGTAAGTGTGTGAATCTTGTGTGATTTAGTTCAGAACCAGGTCTGTTTTGAAGCCAGCTCAGTTTGGGGGGGAAGAGTGTAGTCCATCTCTTATGGAGGAAAGAGCCTGTCATCCCTCCAAGGAATGTGGGATTGAGGCTGTCAACTGTAAAGACAAGTTCACCTGTGACAGTGGTAATTATCTTCATCGACTTCTTCACAACAGCACAGAATATTTGCACCTTATGTTTAAGAATAGACCTATATAATCTATTGATTTTATAATTGAGCAGATAGGCCTAAGTACACTTTATAAAGCTGTCCTTTAGAAAAGAGGTGCATGATCGCCACCATGCTTTATTGCCACCAACTTGCTAGGAAGATGTGTAAACGCTACTCTGCAGTGCAACAAGCAGAACGACTGTGGGGACAACTCTGACGAGAGAGACTGTGGGCAAACAAAAAGCGTGTGTGCAAGTGAAAGGATATTTGCTTTCATTCCTGGAGCAGACCTGATTGGTTATGGGTGAGTTACAGATAAAGATCATTTGGGTTTCTTAGATTGCATACATGACATGGTAAACTTTCAGGGTATTGTCATGTTGTCAGCAAAACAATTTTGAAAATCTGAGATTGTGCTTGTCTTGAAACTGATAAAGATTCTTTTTAAAATTAGATTTGACGCTGCAGCAGAGCAGATAAGAGGCGCTGTTCTGGACAACTCATTCATGGGGGTGAATGCATTCCACAAAGACATAGGAAAAACTACTACAGAATCCCTGCCAACATTGAGAGATATTAAATCAAGGTGGGAAAAATCGAATTTCTGTCTGTTTCTGCTTGTAGTACTTTACTTGTCATACTTTGTTAGCTGGAGTAAAAGGATATCCAAAATTATGCCATGTATTTTGGCACCATACAGGTAGGCTATACTTATTTATTTGTTTGTTTAAAATATATTAGCTAATATTCAATATTTGATTTCTGACAGTTTAAATGTGTAAGATGTACCACAATCTTTATTAATGTTATTTTTAGATGATTGCAAAAGGAATTTCTTATATTGTACATTATCATTTTGTAATGCTGATGTATAGTTATTCCTTTTCAAATAATTTTAAAATAACATTATTAAAGGTTTTTGTAGTGTTTACAAATTTAAATTGGGAGAAATATAAAAAGCATATAAAATCGACATATAGTCAGTATTGACCAGGATTTCAATATCAGTGCATCTCTAAAATATCAAATCAGATGAGCAGCTATTTATTGTTTGATCCTAAAACCAGTCACACAAAAACACATGAAATTGATTCATGATTGAATTTGTACATTTTACTTGATTTGATTTAATTCCAGGTAGAAAATCTTGAGGATATTCAAGAGCAAGCAATCAAACCCCAAAAAGTCAACTTGGCCAAAGAATCAAGTCATTTTTTCAAACAGGCAGTGAAAGCATCTCAACAAAAGGCAAGAGATCTCAAACGCCAAACTATATGATGCTCTATTGTTATTTGGCCTTTATTCAGATCTCTTTTTGTCATTTTTGTGCAGGACTCTGAGTTTTTCAGGGTGCATCAGGTTGTTGCCACATCAACATTCAGAATGAAACCCTCTGACCTCTACTTATCAGATCAGTTCCTTCAGTTTCTGAACAGTCTGCCACTGGAATACAACTATGCCCTTTACAGACAGATCTTCCAGCTGTTTGGGACACATTATTTCAGCTCTGGGACATTAGGGGGGAAGTATGACCTCCTTTTCTAATATGATCGAGAAGAACTAAAAACCTACGGTAAGCAGACATTATCATCTGATTGTAAGAAACTGTTTTGGCACAACATTAGAGAACATGGTCATGTGGAGCTCATGTGACTTTATTAGCTTTCTCTCATTTCTAAAATGCAATGAAACTGTTCTCTCAAATCAGTTGTATCTCCTTAAATTTCCCAGGACTGACAGAAGGGGAAATGAATAGCTGCTTCAGGCAGGATTCCACCATCATTGCTATATTCTATAACAGAATATCATATAGTTCCACATGTGGGAAAACTACATTAAAAACCAAATATGAAGGTAATAGATGCACAAATTTACTATTTAATTTACATAAGGCTTTAAGTTATGTAAACCCAGTTTGAAATGCACTTGTCCACTTCAGGGTCAATTGTAAAAGCAGCGGAGAAGTGTAGCACATCGGTGCAAGGAGGTAGAGCTGAATATACAGCAGCCCTGGCCTGGGAGAAGAGGGGTGTATTGCCAAACAGCACTACATACCAAAACTGGATCAAATCTACAATAGACAATCCAACTGTTATAGATTTTGAGGTTAGGAAGAGAAACCTGTCAAACATTTGGGGGTTTAAAATACCCTTTTATTCAAAAGAATTGCAAATGAACGAAATGAATAGGTACTATAATTCACTATCAGAATAATATTGACTTGTCAATGTCTTATCTAGCTTCTGCCTTTAGTGAATTTGGTGCGTGGCTTCTCTTGTGCTCTGACAAAGAGACGGCATCTTCATAGGGCACTGGAAGACTACCAGACCGAATTTGATTCTTGCAAATGTGCCCCCTGCCCAAACAATGCTCGGCCTGCTCTTTCTGGAACAGAGTGCATTTGTATTTGCCAGACCGGGACCTATGGACCAAACTGCGAGAAACGAGCCCGGGACTACACTGCAGATTCACATGCATGTCTAGGAATATCTGTATCTAGAAATGAAATAAAATGGAATAAATATATGTATAAAAAAAAACTAATATAAAATATTAATTTATTAATATTAATGCATTAATAAAATGCTAAAAAATAATAATAATAAAATGAGGTGCCAGTAATAAAGTCTGTCCACATCTCACAGATGAAGTTGATGGACGCTGGAGTTGCTGGAGCTCTTGGAGTACTTGTGACGCCACCTTGAAGAAGCATCGCTCA